ATATACGTAATTGCAACAGTTTTAGCACCTATTTAATTAGTTTCAATCACGACAGAAAATGATATAGATGATTGTTTCTTTTAAACTATTTGATCGAAAAGTTACATAAAATTGGGGTTGCGTAATCATCCGAAATCATTATTATATTTTCGACTGAAAATCGCTGGATTTATGCAATTTTAGTTTAATTAATGTCGTATAAAACTGACTGTTCGTACGAGTTTGCTTAAAACACGCGACTCAAAAAGTCCCAAAATGGCGGCTTAAGAAGCGTGTCCCGACCTTCTTATATAGACCTTGCCGAGCTGTGGAGAGCGAAACGCCATCTGCCGGCGAGACGACGAGAGCGGGACGAGACGCGACTTCGCGAGAGCAGACGACGGTTGAAGAAGAACGCGCGAAAAGACGAAAAAGAAATCCTACACTTGTTTTTTATAATAATCACAATAATTTTTATGTAATTTGTATTCCTTAAAACGTTCCTGTTATCCAAATCTTTCTTACCTCAATTAAAGTTTTTCAAAAGGCAAAGAAAAGTCTCACATAAATAAATCATAAAAATCATTTAGAATCGAGGCAAGGAGAATGTTTGTTATTAATTTAATGGACCTGACGTTTTGGACAAAAATTCTAAGATTTTTTGTTGAATACATTATAGGAGAGAGGAAAAAAACAGGTACCAGTCGACCCCCCTATAAGATCATAGATACGTTACATTTTTTAGGAATCCGATTTTCTTACAGCCCGACACATGTAAAGTTTACAGACTACGGCTGATTGAGAGATTTTCTTCCATAAAATTAATCGATTCTAGACTAATCCGACTCAACATTTCCAAAATACGTATATATTTTTTGGAAATAATCTGTATAAACTATGCTATAAACAAAAAATTGAAGGATTACTTACCGAGTATGCACCATTCGACAACCCCATTGCTAAAGCTTGTTTTCGTCGCGGAACAGCTCAGCAAACAGCGGCCGATTTCTAACAACTTATTTTTCTGCGAAAACTTCGTTGAACTTCGGAGACATCATTAATATAAGTAATTTTAATCGCCGTTGAATAAAAAATGTTTCTTTCACAAGAAATGTATAAAATTACAGTACTCTATTAGACTTACGGTACCTAATTTACATACTGTACAGATGATAGTTAGCGTAAAAATCTCCGTAGCGTGGCGCCACGCTAGATGGCGGAAATTATATATTTAATTATAACAAAGTTACAATAAGTTAATATATACAGTACCTAATTTATATATAATTATATGTACAGTACCTAATTTATATATAATTTATATAATACTGTCTAGACGATAGAAATCTCTCCGTAGCGTGGCGCTACGGACGGCGTGGAAAGTAGTTCGGCTGCCCGATGACGTTTTACATAATTATAGGGGGTTTTTTACTGTTTTTTTACGGATACCGTCACAATTTTTTCGCAGTTTTATAGGAATCGTAATTATTGGGACCGTAATTATAGGGGGGGGGTCGACTGTACTATGAACAAAGATGAAGATGTTGAGGAACTATCAAAAATGTATAAACTAGCAATAGATAAATCAATATATTATTATATAAAATAGATAGACTGAGCTTGCATATATCACGTGCAACAGACGATTAAAATAAAACGGTATTAAAAAATAGAAATGTATATTAAATACAATAAAAACAAAATAGAAATACCTGAAATGGTGTAAAATATATACGTTAACAAAATTGTGAAAATATGAACGTCTTTGCTCGTAGCATGCAAAAAAAATTATGTTAACTAGTAAACTTCCTTCGAAAACTGGCTCTACTGCAACCGCGACTAGAAACAAAGTTTGTTCTACTCGCGCCGATGGCAAACACACATCCAATCAGCAAACGCCTTTATGCATGTCATACGATGACAACATTGAAAATAGATCATCATCATGATGGAAAGTTAAAGGATTGATACTTTTACAGAATCGACATTGATCGAGCTTATTCACGAATGCCTGTGGGATTTTAGTTCTTCGTTTTATCGAAGATTTTATCTGTTCGTGTATTCTCGCGGACTCTATCAAAATGATCGCCTTTTTTTCTTTTATTCTTTGCAGAATAGGAACTGCTTGCCATTTTAATAAAAAAAAAGTGGCTAAAATTCCGTAAATACTCTGATGTAGAACGTAAATCGTCGGTAAACTCACGAAGGTAGTCAAAAACAAGCTACTGTAATTTTATTGGTTTATTATAGGGTCAGGTGTTTCCGAGTTGCAACGCCAGCGAACAATGTGTGACCACGAGAAGACGTGCTTGTTGCAGTTGCAGTCACCTGCGCGGCTGGAAATCGCATGGTGTGACCACGGCTTAAGATAGCCTGGGCACTACGACCTTCAACATTTAATGTTTTCGTGGCTTTACTTCATGCATGAAAAACAGATTATGTTCTGAGCTTCTGACCTTTTTCAGAAACACCTCATCAGCCTTTTATGATTTATTGCCAACTGAACTACTGTAGTTTTACATTAGTGTGAGGTCCCAAAAACGGGTTGAAATTAAACATTTATATTAGAAATTTATTAAAACAAAACTAGAGGGGGGAAAACCTCCAATGTTACAAACCGATCAAAGATCGGATTCGTTATGCTAGTCATATGAAACCGAGACGAGAGGGGGGAGAAATACTATTAATGTAAGACATGACTCAATAAATGTAAACGAGCATTCTCCAGTAGAGATGGACCTTTGACAAGGCGCTCGTATACAAATAATTAGAACATAGAAAATCTTGAAGAGTGGAAAGGTTAATTATAAAAGGGAACATCGCGTCAGGTCGTTAAAATTCTAAGACGTCATAGACTAGACAACAATGGGGTAAAATGAGCGCAAGTTCAGTCTCATCAACACTTTCCATCCAGAGTTAGAGGATGTGTCGGGTAAATTCTCCGAAGCGAACCTTCTCGGGACCCAAATATGTCTCGTCAAAAGCTTAGGGACAAACGTGGAACCAACAAGGATGGACAAAAAGGGGAGAAAGGAGATTGATATAAACCCTGATCGTGAAGGACACGAGGCACTCGGCGAGTCAACACTGAGTGAGTGAAATCGAAAGCGAGGTCAACAGATTTGGGACGAAGCTTTGTCTTCGTGCCGATACCGAAGCCGTCTCCTCATACCAACGGAGTCTCCCCATCTATCTCACGAACTGTTTAAGAACATTGCCCCGGGGCCACCTCGACAACAAAAACTAAAAGAACACTTATGCTCGGGAAGTGAACAAGACAGCATCGACACTAAGGACTTCCAACCAGCTGATTGTGTTCAGAAATATTTGTTTCTTAGTGTAAGTTTGTCTTATGCTAAAATAAACGGGTTTTTGTAAAATACTTGTCATCTCTGTCTCCTCCTCCACATCCACACGCGAACATCCCTAGATAATCCTGACGGGGATTAACGATCCTCCCCTAAAAGTCGGCAAACTTATATTAGTCCATGCTATTAAAGTTTGAAGGGATTTCTATAGAAGTCTGGTCAAGGACATTGTTCTGTAAACAAAATATCTGAAACTAAACAACGTATAACATTTAAATTTGGCACGTGCAGAGAAGACACTAAAGGATTTTTCAGAATCATCAA